GAGACCGCGCCGGCCACCGCTCGCCGCAGGGGAAAAGCGAAGCCTGGGGTGTTTCACCCCCTCCCCATCGCTCTGGATTGTGGCCGGGGACCTGGCTGGGGTTTGGGGGGGCCTGTCGCGAGATGTACCAGAGTTTAGCCATGGCAGCTAACCCCGGCCCTCCGGCCTAGGAGGGGGCAGGTGGCTTCATGCACGGCGCAGCGGCAGCGTCCCCCGTCTATGTGCCCACCACGAGGGTCACCTCCATGCTCTCTCCAGCCACTCCATCTGGACTCAACCCGGAGCCGAAAGCGCCGCTTACAACCCTGGATCTTCTCACCCTCCCGTGTCACCTCGGTTCTCCTTCTCCACCAGCACCCCCATCCCTGCCACCTCTTCCCGGGAAGCCGCGGCGGCTTACAGCAGCTCCTTGAACCTTTCTGCTAACGGGAGGGAGCAGTACAGCAGGGGTTTCGGCAGCTCCTATTCCAGCCCTTACCCAGCTTACATGAGCCCCGAAATGGCCACGACTTGGACTTCTTCACCCTTCGACAGCCCCATGCTGCACAACCTGCAGAGCCGAGGGACGCCCGCGGCCGCCCGGCACGCCAACATAGGTGAGCGCAGCCAGGGTTGGGTTGGGATGGGAGAGAGGGAGGGTTTCACCCCACAAACTCCCCCACCCCAAAAATTTTTGTGCACGCACCCCTCTTTGGGTAGGGCGAGGAGGCACGAAGGGTGGGAGGGAGAAATTCGGCATATTCGGGGGGCGTCGCTGCTGGAGCTGCTTCTCTGGCTGCAGAACGTGGGGGGCTCTGCCGTGCTGTGGTTGCCCACCGTGCACACGTACTTTCTTTGCAAAACTTCCATTTCAAAAATATCCTCAAGGACCACAATTTCAAAAAAAAGCAAAATAAAATAGATAATTTAGGGTACGGCCCAGAGTGGCAAGAAATGACGTGCCGAGCTCCCGTGCAAGGGCCCGCTGGCTCCGCAAACAGCTCCGTGGGGATTTGGGGGCTGCGACGGGGAGGCTGGCGGTGTACGGGACCACGATGCTCCGTGGGTGTGCAGGCAGCCGCCCCCCCTGGCCTTGCTGTAGGTGTAAAGTGGGGAAAATTGTTTGGAAGACGGGGAAAATCAAAATTCGGCCCGTGAAGCCCAGCTCTTCCCTTTAGGCTGTTTTATGTGATGTCTTTTTTTTTTTTTTTTTAGTTTTTGGAAAGGTGGGTTAGGCTAGAAAAAGGGAAAGCAAAGGGAAATTTGGCGCCAATGGGGGAGAGACGCTAGAGAAGGGAAAAAAGAAACGCATCCACATTTATTATCACACTTTTTGGGGGACTCACGGGCACATCTGAACAACCTGGCCCTGTCTTTCAGCATCTCCTTGCCCCCAGAAAATCTCAGCCCTGATGTCTTGTGCCAATCCCCATCTTGGAGCCTTTCATTTCATTCAGCGCCCCTGGGTCCTACAACCAGAAATCATCCCAAATGGCTTAAAATATTGCTTTTATATTTTGTATGGCAGAAGAGGGAGAAATGCGGGGCACATCTCTGCGCCACGGTTCCATGAACCCTTTTTTTCTTCCCTGCCTTCTCTCCGTGAAGGTATTTCTGTCGGCATCGGGGTCGGGGTTAACAAAGAAGATGCCTCGAATTTGCCTGCAGATACGTTTTAAGATTGTGTTCTTTAACCTGAATTTTGGAGGGCAATTTTTCCACCATGCCTAGCAAGATTTGCTTTATCTTCAGCATTCTTTGGAGACATTAAAGAAAGGGAGGTTGGGCGGCGGCGAAGGCTTGGCCTTGCCGATGCCGTTCGCTTTTCTTTGGGCATTATGAAATTGCTTAAAAGGGGGAACAGATCGTCTTTAAGGATAAAGTTCTGGCCAACCAGGCAATGTTTTTTGGGAAGCCCTGAGAAGGTAGAAAGTATAGGAAAAAAGCAGGAAGAATCCAATAATCAAATAATAATTGAATTATTACCAACAAGGACAGACGCGCATTCGTGTTTGGCTACTGCGCCATCTCTTCCTTGGGGGGGGGGGGGAAATCACCTTTTTGTAGTGGTCTCAAAAGGGCTTTTAGTAATAAAACCGACTTCAAACCAAAATAATGCAAATGAAGAATTGCAGTTGCAGAAATACCCGGCAGCTTTTAAGGTGCCAGAGACTGAGTGCAGTGATTTGGGGGTTTCAAGCCCTACGTTAAGCAGTGGTTTGCGTTGCAGGTTTTGCGTTTTGATGGCAAAAAGTGGGGTTTATTTGGGCTCTTAAATAGCACCGTGAAGAACGGGATGCGTTGAGCCAGTCCAGAAATCGTTAGCGGTCGCTAACGAAGGAGGAAATAGCCGGGACCCCTTTCCATTGCCAGGTCCTGATTTGGGTGCTGGATTCGCGGTAGCATCGCGGCAGAAAGCGGGGGATTCATTAGCACGGGTGTAATTAGGTCTCTGCCATGAATGTGGAAGGAGCACTTGGGTTTTAAATAAAAAGTGGTTGGGTTTTGGGAGCGGGGGGGAAAAATAAAGGGAAACTGCCTGAAAGCTGGCGAGTTTTAAATTCAGGATTAAAACGGATTTTTGGAAGGCAGCTCCCCTTGCAAGTAGTTTAAGGTCCAGACCTGCCCCTTTCCCTCTTCTCCCGAGCCGGGAGGCGGCTGCTGCCAGGCTGCTCCCAGCCCGGTCCCTTCTCGACGCCGGGGTGATGCTTTGCGGGCTGCGGGTACCGAGGGGGCTGTATGCAGCACGTAAAGGCTGGCTGGTGGTTTTTGAGCAGGGAGAAGGGTTGTTTTTTGTTGGGTTGTTTTTTTTTTTTTATGAGCAAGGATGAAAAAAGCCCTGATGAGTTGAAAAACTGCCGGCACGGAAAGATTTAGTGGGAGGGCAATGCTATGGTGGATTGCACCCATCACAGATCCGCTTTAATAACACATCCGAGCCTGGCTCAGCACCTGAGTGGTCCCTGGTACGGTGCAGCCCAGGCTTTGCTTTTCCTTAGGACTAAAGATAATTTTATTCTCTGCACCATGGGGAATCTTGGGGTGGAAGCAAAACCCTCCAGGCAAGGCGATACAAGATCAGCGGATTTTGCAGCGCTCTCGTTTCCCTCCAGGGATTTTTGCTTTCTGGAGCACCGTCACCTTTGGATAGCGTTAATTGCAGAGCACCCCTGGGATCATTAGAATATTAATTATTATAATTTTTTAATGATGACGATCAGGTCTACGCAGGCATAGCTGGATGTGCAGACATAGATCTGCGGTCTATGCAGTCGGGTGTTTTTTCCCTGCGGTAGAGCAGTGCACTGGGGAAAGAAGTTTAGGGAAAATATATTCAAATAAAATGATACTGAAGGAAATAAAGGTCTTCTTCATTTTTCCTGATAGGAGGAATTTTGGCCTGGGCTAAGCTGTGCCAGCGCAGCCCTGTGCTATAAAGTGCCGGGAAGGATGGGTGCATAAATCACATGGGTCTATTTAAAAAACTTTCCCCGGTGTGAGTTCAAAATGCCCAATTTGGGGCTTTTCAGGGTAAGTTTGCCAAGTGATTTCATTAAGGGCAGGATCAGTCCCTTCGGCCGAGGCCGTGAACTTGCTCCAGGCATTGCCTGGGATGGGGTTACAGTGAATTCCCGACTTAATGAGGCATGAAAAGGATCGGCTGCAGAGTCCCCTTTCAGGAGGCTTCCCTGCCAGAGCCCCAAACGGCTTGAAATCTGTCCCAAAATTAGCAGCTTGCCCCTTCTCCCTTCGCCAGGTGGAGGGGAGTGGGGATGGAGGGCAGCACGGGAGCCCGAGCGCATCCAGCCCTCCTGGGTGTTTCCAGGCTGGGGAGGGAGGGCCAGCTCCTGGTTTGCCATCCTCATCCCCTGTAATTCATAGAATCATAGAATTCTGCTTTTCGCAAAAAAAAAGCAGCGGGGTTTTTCTTTCGCTGGGTTATCCGGAGGTTGACATAGTTGGGAGTAGGAGCGAGGGGCTGTGGGCATTTCTGATGGGTGCTTTGCATTTTGTTTTGACTCGGTCGAAATCAGGGTTCCTCAAGCAGGCAGGGTTTGAACAGAGCAGCAGCATCTGGGAAGATCAAAGCCTGGAGCAGACGCTGGGTTGGAAAATGTCTTGGCTACTGCTGGTGGGGGAGAGATTGTGAACCAGATCTTAAGCTTTCCCATAGGGATGCTAAAAGATTTGCCCTGTAGCATCCCTCGGGCTGGCATTTCCAGTGACTCATCGGCATTTGTTACGATCCTCTGCCCTTCCAGCAGCCCCCCCGCCCCGCCTTCCCCATGCACCTAAGGACAAGGTGGCTGCTCCCCGTGGGGCAACGGGCGATGGGGGGAGCCCAGCATCTCTGCCATTCCTGCCCTTGGAGGGATGGGGACATAGGACGGAGGGATGGGGACATAGGACAGAGGGAGGGGTACATAGGACAGAGGGATGGGGACAGAGGACAGAGGGACATGACTGTAGGACGTGTCTGCATCTTGCACGGGACCCTACCTCCCCTGTTTTGCAAGCGGTTGCATTTCTCACCTCGGCTCCGCCGGCGGGGAAGGTTGGCCCGGGGCTTTGTTCCCCCCTGTGGGTTTCAAGCCGCCTTCTGCTCTCCCGCCTAATTTAATTGTCACCGGTCAGTCTGGGATTTGGGATGAAACCCACAGCATTAGGGGGTACAAGCTCAAGCTCAAACACACAACTGGTTTTTACCCCCCACGTCCCCAGACGGTATCTTTTAAATTATACATAAAGCAATGATAATAATAAAAATATCACCATCACGGGCACTATATCACCCTTATTATTAATACAGTTCATTCATTGAAAACTGCTCGTTATTACCAAATCCAAACGCACATGTTGTACAGAACAGCCACGGCGCAGTGTATAACACATTATAAATGCCTGAGAATTTTTAAGGCAGTGGATAGTGGCCCTGAATCCAAGACTTCATTAAGCCAGGATTAATTATTTTTCTCCTTCACACATGCACTCACACACGCCTTTGTCCCTGTAACAATAACAGTGTTTTGGTTTTTTTTTTTCAAGAGACAGCCCATATTTTGCTTTTTTGGTATTTATTGCCATCAGTTTGGGGGGAAAGAGGAGAAATCCTTGGAAACAGATGAGGGTTTCCCAAAGGAAATTGGACCCGATCCTGCTGCCTCCATGCTCCTCTGATGATGGAGAAACCTTGGCTCCACAGGCACTTGGTTATCCCAAACGCAGCTGGGTATTTGGAACGGGTGAACCATCTTGTTCCCGATAGCTGTAAAATTAAGGATGCCCGGGAAAAAAAAACAAACCGACACCAAGAAAGCATCAACGGGCAAATAAAATCCCAAAGTGGGTGAAAAAGCAGCAGCGCAGCGAGATGAGCAAGTTTTTGTGCCTGAAGGGCAGCAGCCTGTTGCTGCTGGGGAGGGCGTGTGTGCAGGGGCTGTTAAAATAAAGATGGAAAAATGCAATTTTAAGGAAAATGAAATTAAAAAACCACCCTTGATAGTGTAGCCCCCACAACCGCAGAGACCTTGTGTCCCATCGGCAAAGGGCTCAGGGAAGAAATTTTTGCTCCTGGAGCCCCGCAGAGCTTTGCACGCGTAGGAAAAAGGGGGTGCAA